TCTGAGCTGATTGATAACATACAATTACGCTTGACAATGATGTATGCTATTCTTTTGTGCCATGTATTCAACAGTACAATCGTTGAAAGGAATGGCAGAGTAAAGAAATCAGACCATATGAGATTTATTGTTGACATGACTAGAAATTTTTTTTGTCAAATATTATCAGATAAGATAACATGATACTAGTAAAATGCTAAAATTCAAAAGAGAGCCTAACTCTATTCTCAAAATTACACTCAACGTCTCAATTTAAGAAATTAACACTTTGAGAAAGATATGTTGCACAGACCTGCTCACCAACAAAAATAATGCCAGACTTGGGTGCGTCAGACTGCAATAAGGAGAGCAATGTTTGATGCCTTTCCTTTTTACTGCATATCTGTTAAGAAACACAACATCAGTCCACTCTAAATCAAAATTATTAAGAAGAGGGACAACACAATAAAGGATGTTGCCCCTAATTGGGAGAAAAAAAAAATGGGAACATAGATACATTGAATACGTTCAAATAGCCAATACACTGGAAAGTGTTATGGAAAAGACAGCATAAAAAATATTCTTACCACGAATCTATGTTGCAGGCATGTCGGCATGGGCTCAATTGGATTTACATGGACATGAACTACATCTCTCTGCCAATACAGATACACAATGGATATCAGTGTCATCATTTATCAAATTCCAATAAACACAACCCTCTTTTTTTTCGTGAGTGAAAAGCTTTACTAAAAGGAACCAAAGTTGGTGCAAACACATGCATGAACAAAAAGATCTTATACAACAAAGGACATATACAAAGTCTGTAAGAGAAAGGACAACCTTGGTCCACTTCTGCTGGATGCAATCATATAAAAATCGGTTGTGCTGAGGGATGGATGCACTAGCAAAAACTGTCTGACGGCTATTGCATGAGGAATAAGATGTCAAAAGCTTTCGCAGGGAACTCACTTGTTTTGAAGAACTGAACATGAAATCAACCTAGACAAGCAATGATATAAAATGTCATTCCTCCAAAACAGTATATCAAAAGCAGTAATGTAAAGCAATAAGACAAGTAAATGATCTGCTCAAAGAAAAGGAGCACCTGTGCATCAGTCTCAAAACTCTGTAGGAAACAAATCAAGAAATTCAAAAACTGTACTCTAATCCAAGCTATACAGATGGTTAATTAAAAATATTTCTAATAAGAATCATTAAAATACTCTACACACATTCTAAAAACACCAGACATTGAAAGAGACAAGAATTACCTCATCAATAACCAGCACTTGCATTGATTCAAGTTTAAGCAAGTGCTTCTCAAGCATTTGGCACAAGCTAGCTATTGTTGCCACCACTATTGTAGGAGGCTCAGCCTGAAACACAAATTCTATCCTTTTAATACTGGTGCAAGTAAATAGATAAACTCAATATAGAAAAGTGAGACACTCCTGACTAATAGCAAGATATATTGCAATTCTGAAACTATTTGATAATTGTTGGCAAACAGTGCGTATCAATGCAAGCAACTACAGTTTCTAAAAGCTATCTGGGAATTCTAACACTGGAAAAATCTAAAGAAATATCAATAGTGCAGACAGAAGAATAATTTTTTATAGGTACTTTACATCCATCAAAGTTGCTTATGCTGTGAACAGTTCAGATACTTTTCCATCATCCTGTTTTCAGTTCTAAGAGAATATTGATTGATAGCTAAAATAACAATTTGCATAAATTCATGTAAGCCTACCACACGACAAAAAATCATATCAAGAGGATGCCGCACCTTTAGCCAACTCTTATGTCTCCTCAACATCCCTCCATCTAGAAGCGCCATGACGGTGCAAGACTTCTGCTCCGCATCATTCTCTGTTGGCGTTGCAGCCAACATCCGAGCAACTTTTGTAACCTAGTTCGTGAACAGACAACCAAACCACCATTAATGAGATGCTCCAAAGCATCCAATTACGATAATGAGCATCAACTTTCAATTTATTACATAAAAGAAGACGCGTTAACTTCAAAAGGGAAAAAATATCAAGATTATTACTTGTATGCCTAGTTCTCGAGTAGGCACCACGATTAGTGATTGCACAGCCGATCTTTGAGTATTTATAACAGAAAATATCAATAGTAAGTATGCAAGAGTCTTGCCAGAACCTGTCTAGTGAATAAAAAATGAGATCTCGGTTAGAGTTGTAAGGTTTTGTATGCTATTTTTTACACATTAAATTGGGAGCAACCAATAAAACAGAAATCAGTAAAAAAAAATGGAAAGAAATTAACCTGAGCATGAAGTATGCAGTCGCGGCCGCTAAAAAGAACAGGCAAAGCTTGTTTCTGTACATCCGTTGGCACCGCATATCCAACCTCTTCTACCCTGAAAAATGGAGTGCATAATATAGCTACTCAGTAATTTTTTTTCTTTCTTTTTTTGTTTAAGAAATCATTGAATTCAATAATAATAGTAAAATTAATATTAAATCAAACTGAAATCACAAAGAAATTGAGAAACTAAATGATTATTGACTGAAACTTGCCTGCGCAGCAAGTGCTCGGGCACATGACCTAGGCAAATTTCGCGAAGAGTCAAGGCCTCCCCCTTCTCTCTAGCATCATCAGCTACTTTGGTTAGTGAAGGGGAGTTGAGAATGGCCTTTAATGGCCTAAAATTTGATCTAGAATAGAAGAGAGCTCTGTTCAAACACAAAATATGCGACTGAAGTAGAGAAAAACCGGTTCGAGTGGGTTTCGAATATAAAACAGCGTATGAAACTTGTGGAAGCTGCTGAGTAGCTGAGATTATAGGAGCCATTATCAGCTCACTATTGGTTCCCTCTCACTGCTTAGCGGCCAAAAAAGAACGATACAGGAGATTCAACCACTGGGGCATTATAGCCGATGGATTTAAATCCTCGGTTATGGCAGGACGCCTGCATACCGGAGAAGCGGGACCCGCTTTTTTTTTTTTTGTCCTTGTGATTTTTTGGGAAGTTATTTTTTAATGCGTCTTGTGGATTGGTTAGTCTAGAGTCTTACACGTGCAGTGCGTGTTTGACAAAAGGGAATTAACAAGTCAAGAATGGTTTGCAACTTTTTTGAGCTGCCCCTTGTAGTTTATGGAATTTGTTAATCATGTCCCATAGCGTAAATTACTGTTAATCATTACATATAATAATTATTTTTTTTTAAATAAATTATATTTAGATTAATATTTTTAGTATTTTTATTATTATTTTGAAGTGCTCATATAATAAATTAAAAAAAATATTATTTTAATATATTTTAAAATAAAAATAATTTAAAAAACAATATCTATCATATTTTCAAACATACTTTAAATACTTGTAATTAACTATAAACTTGTCTAATACTTTGATCATTTAATAATATAGTAATTTATGTATTTTTATCTGATCACAAATAAAAAATTTGTTTGATTAATCAAACAACTTCATCCTTTTTTCACTGCAACTCGTATATAATTATATTTTAAATTTTAATTTTTGTAAAAGCTAAAATAACTTATTTATTTCTCATTTATTTTGTGTATAAAAAATCATCTTGCAGCATCTTTAATAAACACGCAGCTAAAATTAAAATTATTTTTTTAATCTCGAATACAAAAGCTATCTTTTTAACTTCAAAATTAACCGGTGCTCTTGCTTTTGATCATGAATTTTAGGGATTATAATCACAATGGTTGTTGATAAAAAAGACCAATATAAAAAGGATGCTGGCTAGATGAGGGAATGGGAAGCAAGCCTTGCTTTCTGACCTGGAAGAAAAGGAGAGGGGGTTAGGTGAGGTGAGGTGATTTCCCAGCTTGGATCTTCAAGCGTGGATCATATGTTGATGTCATGATTGAGAATTGAAGATTTGCTGTGATTGCCGAGGGGAGGATCAAAATGTGTATATTTGCTTTAAAATTAATTTATTATATTCTCAACTTAAATGAATTCAAGAAAATATGTTTCATACATGGAAAACACTTAATGCAATGATGGACATCATGTATATATAGATTAAAAAACATGCAAACACATTTTAAAGTAAAAAAAAAAATGTAGATCACTAGATTTAAAAAAAAAAAGAAAAAAATATTTTTTATTTTAATCAATTTTTCTCATAATTAAAAAAATATAAACCAAATCAGATTAATCCACCTTTGATTTTCATTAGTGCAAGGAGGGAATTAATGTTTTGTTATACATGCATAAAAAAAAATCGACTTCAAATAATGCATGAACTCGTATGAGATTGAAAATTATTATCTATTAGTCTCGTTTGATTTTAATTTCTCAATTTAATTTATCAAAGATAAAATAAAAATAAAAATAATATTTAGTATTATAATAATGTTTGTTTTTAAAAGTATTTTTTTACTTTAAAATATATTAAAATGATAATTTTTAAATTTATTTTTTATATCAGCACCTCATAATTTAAGTAAAAATTTTGATAATACAATGAGCTTTTAAAATTTATTTATAATTTACTAGCTATGAAATACTATTTTGCAACTGGATATAACAATATATAACCGTATCATAATATTATTTAAAACATTTAAATGTTTATTTCTACGTCAACATTTTTATTACACAAGAAATGGGTATGTATATTTAAATACTTTAAACCATCAATCATGAAAAGCCTAAATACTTAACAATAAATAAAGCATTATATTGCTAGAAAACACCACACTATACACATTACCGATAAATTATAGTGTTGATTTTAGTCTACGTGAATAAAATATTAACTGTAACTAAAGTAGCAAGGTATTTAAAAAATGGCTTGTTAAAATGAAGGTTAATATTATGAATGCATAGATGATAAAAGCATAGGGTATAACACGGAGAAGTTAAAAATGTAAAAAATTACCATAGGATAAGGATTTGTAGCGTGACAGGGGTATCTCTTGGAAAAGAACGGGTCGAGGGGCATCTTAGCAATCAAGGAAGAAAGGAATAAGATATAATTATCAAGTAACCATTATATTATATAATATGGAAAATAACTCAATGCAAGAAAGAAATTAACAAAAAAAAAAAAGATTGTTTGATTCCATCAAAAACTTAAACCGTCTGAATCGGATTTCTTTGCCTGAATTTTCTGCCTCTTCGCCTTTCTCTCTTGATCCTTTTCTTTTCCTTGACCATTAGCGCGCGCGCACTCTGTCTATGTCTCTAGGGTTCTTTTCTTCACCTTCACCTTAATCTTCTCCATTCAACTAGAACAGTGTCTATCTCTGAAATGGCGAATTTCACTTCTCTTACCTCTCCATTCTCTGATACTCCAGTGGTTTCAGCTGCTGCTGCTGCCTCGTCGTCTTCCTCCTCCTCTTCTTTTGGAGCTGGAGTCGACGATGCTTTCGAAGACGACGCTTGCAGTATTTGCCTCGATCCTTTCACCGCTCAAGACCCTGCCACTGTATTTTACACTATCACTCTCTCTATTTTTTTTTTTTGAAAATAATATGGACTGGAAAGTATTTGAATTTTTTGGTGATCGATGTCGTGCTAGCTGTTGATTGACACATTTCTAAGCACTGTTTATTCAATTTCCTTTTCCTTTCAGGGAAAGGAAAAAAGAAGGTGAATGTATCAATTGGAATCGAATTTAAAAAGTACTAACTTTGCAGTACAATTACTTAGTGATTATTATTTTTTTCTTTATAAAATTGAGGTAAATTTATGATTTCTAATTGCTTCTTACTGCACCATTTTCTTTTTAAGAGAACTGTTGATGTGAAATGATTTCCTCTTAAACCCAAAAGAAAATCTGTTGATGAGACATAATCATAAAACCAGGATCCCGGGATCTCGTCTTCTTGGTTTTTTTCTTTTTAATTTCTTCCCAACATATATTTTCTTGTTCTTTATATTCTAGTTTATGATCTCCATGAGAGATCGATGATACAATAGTCAATACTGGAATTGACTCTAGGATGCTTTTATGGATTCGTCTCTATTGTTGTTCTATAGCGACCCTTTGACTACAACTTGTCAAATGTTAAAGCTCTTGTTCTTTTTCTCGACATGATTGCTTGTGATGGATTGTTGTCTTTAGGTTTTAAGTTAACTATAGACCTCTGGACTTGTTTCTTGTCTCAGTTTACCTGCTGCAATCACGAATATCATCTTCAGTGTATTCTTGAATGGTAGGTGTTAATCACCATAGCATTTTTTCTAGCAATGGATGTCTTGCGTGAGATTATGATGCCATGGGCCTATGGCTATCATTGATTTTACTTGTTTCTTGTTTAGGTCGCAGAGAAGCAAAGAATGCCCGATTTGCTGGCAGCTTCTTGTCCTGAAAGACCATGCCAGGTATATTATTTGTTGTGAGAAGCGATATACATCTATCCATCTTTCTCTCTATTGTTCAGTTTTATGTTGATCAAAGCAACCTAATTGGTTACTGCTTCTGTTCGTGCACCTTTGTTTCTGATTCTGTTTTTCTAGCCAAGAACTTCTAGCTGCTGTCGAGACTGAGAGGCTTTTAAGGTCAAGGAACTCGACTCCTGCATCCATGATCGTTCCTCACTTGGACGATGATTACGATGTAGAACAGGTGATTATTTAGTCAGTTTGAAGCCCTAACCCTAACCTTTTCATTTCACTGTTTAGTTGCCTCAAAAGCTCTTCTTTTATTTATTGGGTGCTAATGGAAATTTTTAGGATTCCTATTCAGATGACTCTGATTTCGATGAGCATATCATGCAGCATCTTGCTGCCGCTGCCTCCAGCAGAGCTCATCATGTTCACGAAAGGGAGAGGCAGAGGTCTAACGGACTTGGTCCCTCCCAGGTTATTGCCTTTACCTCTCCTGAACATTTAGCCACTGTTCAGCAAACATGCACTTCACCAGAAGAAGGTCAAACTTTAATTCATGGCTCATCAGTGATCAATTCACTAACTCCTGACACACTATCAGTTAACGTTCAAAATTTGTCATCTGTGACCCCTCCTGACGTGAACCAAGTTTCTACTACTGCTGTCAATAGCCCCTTCAAACCCAGGTATCATTCTGTAACTGCAACTTTTTACGTAGACTTCGTTTTTTATTTGGCAAGGTGACTAAGTGAACCAGAGGTTGAATCGGAATCGCTCAGAAAATCTTTGAAGAACTGAAAACAATAGAGAAAAATACAAGAATGACCATTCCGATACAGATGTCCTTGTTTTTTACTTTTATGGCCAACCTTCATTTTTCTCCTTCATCATCTTTTATTTGGTCCTTTCAGAGAATTCTTCTGCAGTGGATTTCTTTTGCATATTTCTTGTTGTCTGTAGCTAGACTGACTCTCTCTCTCTCTCTCACACACACACACACACAAATGCATGCGTGGATGCACACATTATCTTTCTGTCTCTTATGTTTTCAAATATTCACCTTTCAGGATTCTCTTCAGACAGCCACCAACTGACACACCCCAGGGGCAAGGTTCATCGGAGGTGCTATCTCTCTCAGACTCTATTAAATCTAAATGGTTTGCTGCTTCATCCAGGTAGATAAATGCAACTTGGTCTCTTTGTGACTGATATTTACTTGTTCAATTTCTGCTGCTGACGTATGTGGATATCTTGCAAAAGGTACAAGGACTCACTTTCAAAAAGTACTAGAGGCATAAAGGAAAAGCTAGTTGCAAAGAATAATTCGGTCAAGGAGCTGAGCAAAGAAGTTCAGAGGGAAATGAGTGCGGGAATTGCTGGTGTTGCACGAATGATTGAGCGCTTGGATCTTACCACAAAACGCACGGGACCCTCCATGTCTGATTCTGGTTTTACTGGGGGAACTTCAAATTTCTCCTGGAAGGGGAAGGGTGTGGAACAGAACATCATTGCTCAGGCTTTGGCCAAAACAAATGAGGAAATTGATCGTGATACAAGTTTAGGTGCATCCTCACATGCCTCTGGTACTGTCCAAGCCAGAGTGGATATCTCCCATGTGCAGGTTTGGAAACCACTGAAGAATTTTTAATATATCCTCCATTGCTGAAATAGATTAGCTCTAGTATCTTAAAACTGTAGTGTTGATATCACAAATTTTTCCAAGTCATTAATATATATATATATGTCGATTGACATTGACAAAACATGGAGGGTTAACCTGAACTCATGTGCTTCCCCCCCTGTTTTACAGAGAGGTCATTAATGCCATGGCGCTCATGCCTGGCAGCTTGACTGTGTTTTACCTTATCATCTGAGAAGGCATTTGATGCAAGGGACGTGCTGTGAAGAATCCAAGTGCCTGTTGGTTTGCGTCCTGCATCGAATATTTATGCACTGTAACAGTAACTAAGAATGGATTGTTGTCCCGGGATACTATTTCTTTTTGAAGAGGTTAAGATGAGTAGTATATGGATTCTTCTTAACATTTTCTTTTCAACTGCAAAGAAACTTGATGTTCTACCTTGTCATGCCCACTTCTCCTTAAAAATCAAAATTACAAAGAAACCAGACATTCACGTTCTACTTTGGCTTGTTTCCTTGTGCTTCCTATCACATATATGTACTTGATAGTTGGATGTAATTGGTGATGGATGTAGCTATTCATTTTGTTCTATTTTATGAAATAGCGGCAGGGTACTGGATCAATTTACACGAACTTGATGCGATAAAAGAATGTCTTCATGCATGCCAACACCTTTTCCAACGTAGTGAACTAATGAAGTTCCAAGTATATATTATATATCTGCACTGTATATAACGTATGAGGAATCATTTCTGAATTCTTTGTATTGGTATCCTTTGAAATTCAGCCCTGGGGCAGAATTTGGCTGTTTATCAAGAAAGGGATCGATTTGAAGAGGCTGAGTATAATACACTATTCTCACCACAATGGACATGCAACTCCTAACACAACTCGCTTTCCTTGGTCTGCTTTTCCCAAGGAGTTTTCAAATTTTATTTTGGTAGAGCCATTAATCAGTTAGAAGCTGCTGGGGGTGATACTAGAAGTGCAATTATAAAAGCTCAAGAATTCTAGATAAAAAAATCGTTATATATAGACCTTGTTTTGGTGTCTGTTTAATATTGTGGTTCAAATGGAGATTAGTTAAAATTCATTAATTAATAGAATATGAAATCGACGAGGAATTCTGACCTTTTCACTAGCCAGCTGTCTTGATTTCTCGGAGTTGATTCTCAATTGCAGAGCAAACTTGATGCTAACTCCATGAAGATTACCCTTTGCCATTTGCAGATATCTCTTGAGCATTGCATGAGCACCTTCAAACCTTGAGGTAACATGATTTTCAAAGTGCTTATACTTCTCAGTTCGAGCTTCGACATACAGTTCCTTGAACGGAATCCATGTATTCCTAATATAATCGAGCACAGGGGACTTCTCTAGACATCGCTCATCAAGTCTTGTGGCGTCTGAATGTACTCTGATTCGGAAGCAGAATCAATAAAAAAAAATGAGAAAACCATCTCAATCTTCTCCTTTGAAATGAGACTTGCATCTAGCAACAAGATTCTTTCATTATGCTATTCGCACAAAATATTGGCAGTAGCTGGGAACACCTCCCCTGTAGCTTTCATCAAAACCAAATCTTACTCTTCATCTTGTTTGTTGATTTGGATTTTGCTGCAAGTTTTGGCTCGCTTGGACTTAGAGAGGAAAGCATTTGAGATAATTCCAACAGTCCGTTCTCTATGGCAGTGTTCTTTATTCGTTGACTATTATCCATAACCTGTATATAAAAATCATATGTGAGAAAAAAAACATCAAACAAGAAGGATTTGGTTTCGTTAAAAATTGTCCATGAACACACTGTTACCGGATCAATTTAAGATCTAACCCCATTCAGGATCTAATCTGGTTTAGAATCCAGATCATGAAATCGTGAGAACAAATAATTTGATCAATTCGCTCAATTTTACATGATATATGTCAAGTCACATTTGCAATTTTCATTTTAAACTATTTTAAAATTTCTTGTTCATCATTTTTTGTATAGTAAAATCTTTTTGTTCCCTTTTCATTCTAGCATAGAAAATCCTACTTCCAAACCTCATTTTGTTCTAAAAGTTTAATTAACTTACAATGTTAATTATAATATAAATAACAATTAATTTATATTTTATTCAAGTTATGAATTTATTTATATTTATATTTATCTTTAATATTTCAATCCAGTTCCAGAAAAAAAAAATCATTTTGCACGTTAGATGTTGATTTTTTTTTTATTTCTCATTGTTTAACACTGAAAAAAATATATTCCAACTCATTTTGTTAACACAATCACACGTCTTTAATAATTCATTTTTCAATGAATAAACGAGACTATGGATAGCTTAAGATTCTTATATTTTTTTAAAAATTAATATTTTGCAATCGGAGCTTGGCTTAGTCGCTCAACTAAAGTAAACACAAAAAGTTTCTCAGCTCAGAATCAAGTGAATACCCTCAATGATCACAAAGCAAGCATTTTGAATACCCTCAATGATCACAAAGCAAGCATTTCTTTCATTATAGCAGATTCATTAATTTTGAAATTACATTACAACGTTGTCTACCATCCCATAAATCCCACACCCTGTTCCAATGAAATTTCATCACATAATCCTGAAGCTGGAAAATCCAAGCTCAACCCTCCTCTGTTTCCTTTGGGATTATACCCTCGGGGCCTGAGATAACAATGGTACAGAAGGATAGGTAACACAACCACTTAAACTACCGGAGTTGGCTGAAACGCCAGGATAACCACAGACTTCATATGCATAAACATAGGGATAAGAAACGATAATAAATTACTATAGCAATCACAGGAACGGTTCCTCGTGAACCTGATTCCTTGCCTGGTTTACCATGCTCAGCCCAAACACTTATTGTCTCCCCACCATAATACAGGGCTAGTTGCAGAGCGAGCAGAACAAAAGAGCTGGCCAAAAACCCATGACCAGATCAAGCATTGACAATTAGCCCGCCTGCAGTAAAATGCGATAAAAGATTGTAGATCACTACATATGAACAGTAAATGCAGGTTCAAATTAGATCACTGATGCTCTAAAACATCCTTACATACCATTAGGATGCAGAACCTGGCCATTAAAATAGGAGGAACACTCATTGGATGCTAGGAACACATAAGAAGGCGCGATCTCATAGGGCTGTGCTGCCCTGTCCATTGGCACATCAGACCCTAAGCTCGCAACCTTTTCAGCAGGCAGTGATGCTGGTTGTATTGGCGTCCAGACTGGACCTGGAGAGACAGCATTGACACGAATCCCTTTGCTTATAAGTAGTTGGCTCAAACCCCTGGTGAAAGTTACAATGGCTCCCTTAGTGGAGCTGTAGTCCAGAAATTGTGAGCCCCCGGTGTAGGCATTAGCAGATGCTGTGTTGATGATACAGCTCCCTTCTTTCATGTATTTTAGAGAATGCCTATGCACACCAATACGAAACAATCATTGGTCCTTGTACTCCCGAGGGGATCCTCCTTCAATTCGATCTCTTTCAAGGTATGCATGAGATTTGATATCAAATTATTGTTTGATACATGGTGCAGAGTGATTATGCAAGCTAATTATCATCTCACATAATAGCTTAAACCCGAGCTAGCTGGACACATAATCTCTAGGAGATAAAATTAATTACTTTACGCTCAATAGATCTACGATGTTAATATTCAACTGATTAAGAGCCAACTACAAAAATAATAATCCATCTTCGTTCTAAATTGTACCATGCATAATTCCAGTTTAGATTCTAAGGAATCCTGGTATAGTTATACAAGTACTCCAGTTCCAATCTCACTGATAACCGAGATGAACAAGACTGTTTGACCAGACAGAAAGGTGGCATGGTTGATTGATATACGCTTTTTATGTATAATCTTGATTCTTTACCTGGCCATGAAGAACTGAGAAAATATATTGGTTCTAAAAATTCTCTCAAGCCTAGACTCGGTAATCTCTTCAATTGCAGTTACATAGTATTGTTCAGCTGCATTGTTCACCAGAATATCAATCTGCCCGAATTCGCTCACAACTTGATCAACAACCTTCTTGCAATTCTCTTCAAACTTAACATCGGTAGCTATGGCAATAGGCTCTTTTGCAACATTTGACTTTGCCTTGAGTAGCATCTGCAGGGTTTCATCTTTGTCCCTGTCCTCTATCCCTTCTACATATGTAAAGGCCACAGTTGCCCCCTCTAATGCAAAATGGTAGCACACAGATCTTCCTATCCCAGAATCACCTCCAGTCACCAGAGCTACCTTTCCCTGCAACGGATCACAATGCATCGCCACTTGATCACTAAAATTCAAATACTATAATATCGTAAATTCGTACCCAGCAATGAAAGAAATAAAATAGTGAAAGAAAACATTATGTCATATATTCATGATCTAGATAATAAAAAAAAAGGATGTACATGGAGCTTGTTGGAAGGCTGGTACTTGGGATTTATTGCCTGTGGAAGTGGATGCATGAGATATTCTTTCCCCGGTTGTTGGGGCTGAGTCTGCAGTGGAAACCGAAACTGGTCCTTGCCATTTGCCATCTTGTGCCAGAAATAATAAATTTCCTCTCCTCGACTCAATTCAACTGTAGTAAGAGAGCAAAAGGGAGGAACGAAGAAACTTTTGATTGCTTTGAGAACAGCATGATTAGCAGCATTCGTGGTTGGATATCTATTGACAGTGCGGGTACCAGACAGACAAATCCTGTCACATGTTGTTTTTTTAAAAAGTAATTTTTTTGAAATTATTTTTTATATTTATTTATTATTAAAAAACTAATCAATAAAAAATATTTTTTAATTAATAAAAAATATTTTTCCATTAACAAAAAATATTTTCTGATCAATAAAAAATACTTTTCAATAAAAAAAAGTTAATTTGGTTTTCAGGAACGTGTTTTTTTTTTAACTATATTTGTTTTTTAAAAAATGATTTATAGAAAATCACTTTTCAAATTTTTTTGTGTTTGTTTGCCATTAGAAAAGTTAGTTAACGAAAAACAATTTCTAGTCAAAGAAAAATTTAGTTTGGTTTTTAAAAAAAGTGTTTTTCTGAAAAATTTGATTGAAAAACACTTTTTAGAAATTGTGAAAAATTTAAAAATGTCCTTATTTGCTGATTATATCAAATTTGATTCTTAAACTTTTGATTGCTATATATATTTTGTTTTGAATATTTATTTTTCAATTTCATCTCTTAAAATTTATTTTTTATATTAACTTTGATCCTTATTTTTATAATTGCTATTTACTTTTTTCTTATTATTTTTTTATTAAAATTTTTTATTTATCAAATTTAATCCTCATTCTTTTGATTATTACTTATTTTACTTGAAATAATTTATAAAATGTTGATTATTATTATTTTAATTTCTACATCTTTTATTTTTTAGATTTGATCTCAATTATTTTAATTATTATTTATTTTATTTGAGATAATTTATGAAATTATATTTTTTTTCAATTGCATTCTCATTCAACTATTGAATTTGTAAAATTTGCTTCTTATTATTTTAATAAACTTGAGAAAAATAAAATATTAATAAGTTATTTTCTATCTTATTTTCCATGACATAACCAAATACTAGAAATTATTTTTCTATTTATTTTTTATTACACTATCAAATATTAAAAAATAATTTATTTTTTTTAAATTTATTTTTTTAAAAAAATATTTTTTAACAAACAAACAGATTTTAAAATCTATTTAGTGCCGGTTAGTTCTAAGTTTGCTTCACAAAATTGACAACTTCCTATAAATTTCTATAAATTTCAGACCATTAAAAATTTATTAAAATTAATCAATATACTTATAAATTAATTCAGACACCACATTAATAATAATGAAGGAAATCTGCTTGGCTGCCGACTAACGTTGTAGTTTTTGCCAAAGCTATATGTGGTCCTCGAGTTGGGTTATCTAATTGGTGGGCCTATGAGTCAAATCCTATTAAATGCATCTGTCCTCATCCCCAGCCATTTCATTGAAGAGAAAGAAGTTAAGTGCATGGATGGAATTCTACCAGAATTTACAGAGCTCCATCTTTGCATCCATGCAACAGAGACGACTGTACATGCAAAAATGAGATCAGTAAGGTATATATTTTTCCACCCAATATATTTCTTATCCAAATTTATATATATATATATATAATAATTTATGTAGGTTTTTTTTAAGTATAATTTAACTTAGCTTTGTTCAATGCATTTTTTATGTTTTTAAATAGTTTTGATTTGTTAATTTTAAAAATATACATTTTTAAATTATTATTTTAATATTTTTTTTTAAAAAAATATACTTTAAAAAATTACCCTAACAAACATCCTATTCTATATTAGAAGTGAAAAAAAATGGAAATTGCACATAAAGGGATTTAATTGCAAAATTGTTTTTTAATTCAAGAACTAATTGTATTTTACAAGAAAACATGAGGGCTAAAAAACTTCAAATTAAGGACTTTCCCGTGAGGAGAAAAACATGAGGGCTGAAATAATTTCTTAAAAATAAATGAGAGCGAAAATTTCAATTTTTTTCCCATGTTATATTTTTAAATGGGTGAAGATTAAGAAATGCTCATCTCCATTTATAAGGTGAATGCATAAAGGAATGTAAGGATCCGTTCTCATGTTCTTCAATCTGTTCAAAGTGGTCTATTTTTCCCCAATTCAGTTGTTTTTTTCTCATTGTAAAACTGATCATTCTTTTCCTCTAAATCTCTATGTCGTCTTGAGATTTTCCGAACCAAACAATGGCCCCATAGTCTTCGTTATTCTTGCTCCTTGTCTGGAACCTATACATTAAAACACTGTCGTTTTTTAACGAAGAAAATACCGAAGTACAAGTCAAAATTTCCAAGGTCAGTAGGACGCGCCACATGGATAATGTCTACCTCTGATGTACCTCCTGCAGAAATATGCTAATAACAAAAAAATACTAACCTGGAATACAATGTCCAAGCTTTCATAACAAGACAGGAGCCCACAATATCATCAAAATTTCTTCAGAACATTCTCCTGTTGAGGATCGATACAAAGGCGGGGGGGCGTTTCCACCATTGTTCTAAGCAACATTGATGCTGCTACCTGTTCCAATCGTAGTCTCCCTCATATATTGGATTCACATTGTTCTCCCGGTTACTGTCTGCTGATTTTATGGAGTTTGCATTCGCATAGGCATGCCAACCTAGGAGGTATGGCAAGATATACTGCAGGAGGCATAAAATGAAGAGCATCAGAAATAACAAAATGAAAGGAGGAGTGAATAAAACAAAATGTTCACTCCAAAATGAAGCCAAGTTAAAAACAAATATATAAGCCCCCATAAATTCAATCTCCCCCGTATTTCACTCATGTCCAAGGATTTAACAAGTAGTTCGAAGGCCAAGAAGCAAATTTTTTTTGAAGGATGCACTACTTGTTACACAAGATCCAAATGCATTTGGTGTTAATTATATAAGAGCCAACAAGTTCTATTTTTAGACTGGGCAAATTCAAATTATTTCTCCCACTATCCACCAATTCTCAACTAGGTCCCCAAACTATGAAGTTTCTCAACTGGATTCCCAAACTATTAGATATTTCTCTATCGAGTCGGTACATTCATGATTGTTTAATGTCTCCATCTAACTTGCATATGGTATGCACTAAAATAACATAGATTTTGGGAAGATTTGACATTTTCTGGAAAAAAAAGGGAAGAACAAGGACGAGCGACCCAACTGAACAACATTTTAGTTTGGAACTGTATTGGGAATCAATTCACACTTGGGGACTATTTTGAGGTCTGCCATTTTACATTTTGCACACTGTCCTGCTTCTCCATCGACCATCCAAAGGCTACTGGATAGCAACATTCATAATGTTGGGCAAGAGGTAGAGCTAATTCTATCACATTAATTCAACAGAATCCCTCGATTTCTGATGCTTGCAATTGAGAGAGAGAGAGGTTGTACATTAAAAGCGGAGATGAGGACAGTGTACTCTGCCCTAGTGACTGGAATGTATATACTCTCATCTATATTCAGAACTTTGTTTTGAACACCTGCAAAAGAACGAGAAGCATGGAAATGTTGGATGAACTTCAGTTCACAATGTAAATGAGCCACATTTACATACTCGACCATCCAATTACTATTTGCACATGAGAATTTATTATTGTTCCAACAACAATAACAGAATTGAGTTTTAATGAAGATATAGGAAGAAGCACTTGATATAATACCACCACAAAATACAATGGTAGAATCAAAAGCCAAAACAAAACTAAATGAATTAATCCATGGGTACAATCTGTTCCCAAAATTTCAACCATACATCACACATGATTTAAATACTAATGATAGTTGATGGTCCTTTTTGCCCAGATGTGGTAGTAGACATATGTGAAGCTTTATCAGGGTGATAAATGAGCAAGAACTCATGTGAATATGATAAGTCCTCAGGAAATTAATTGAGAATTGATGCATCATCTTCACATAGAACATGCTTCTGGAATTCAGTACCAAGAGTTATGGGAAAAGAGAATTACTGAGGTTAAAGAAGTGACCAGAACCATCTGGAAGTGGCTCTACCTTCAACACTTTCCTGACCTTACCTTCCTCACTGCAAATATCAACAGTTTAGTTATACTTTACAAGCTATTTAAACACTACTGCTATAACTTGCAAATATTCATGTTTTCTGTGGTCAATAATAAGTATTCCTGCAATCTATACCGAGCAGAATGATAAATCCACATCAATAGGCATACAGGATACAAATATTACAATAGGGTGGGCCCGATACAGTTGTTAAGGAACACAAAAGCCAGTCTCAAATTTATGAGTATCTCAGCTCATAACAAACTGCGGATTTCAGTGTGAGTAAATAGTGAGAGTTGAAACATACCGTGTCTACTGTTAGTTGGAATTGGATGCAATTACAAATTAACAGAAATTGTTGCTCATCAATTATAATCATTTGATGACTGGCAGGAAGATGGAATCACAAAAAAGAGTTTTCATATATTCTTTATTGAAGAACTAATTTCAGATTGCAAAAGATGAAATGGAATATATATATATATATTCAAAACAGTGGGTACAAAAGGCATTCAAATATAGCATGGCCAGCTGTTTAGGGCTATATAATCCGTATCAGCTATCATTGTTGGAACACAAGATTACAAAGAAGAATATAGAATGAATAAGAGCATGCAAACAAATTCAAAATGTTTAGTCTGCTGTCCACGTGAAAGAGTAGAAAGTACCTTCTTCCCTTATTAGGATCGTGAAAAAACTCACAGGAATCTCTTGCACCAAGACTTACAAGGTGTCCAATTTCTGTCACCGACAATGAAAATACCTACAAGATGTCCACTTTCTGTCAGCCACAATGAAAACTCCTACAGAGATCAATCAAACTCTAAACATACATTAAAGGATAAATTGTGATGGAGGCCACATGTCAAACACAAGAACACGTTTTTCTTATAATCATGCTAACGGCCTGCTTCTCCAATATGTGGAGTATGGCGGGTCAAACGCACTTGGGGGTTGGAGTTCGGGGATCCACCAAAGGTGGTTAAGGTCCTGGTTTTTCACTTATAAAATCATTAACTAGGCAATGACTGGAGTAAACCTGATTTGAAGGGGTTTTTTTTTTTTTTAAGAAAAAAAACTATGCCGCAATTGAAACGGTCGTT